TCGTGATCCACCCGCCTCAGCCTCCCAAAGTGCTGGGATTACAGGCTTGAGCCACGGCGCCCGGCGCCTGTGGGTTTTTAAGATACTAGTTTGTATTATTAAATTGAAGCTCCATAGGGTCTTCTCGTCTTATTTAGGTATATCCGCCTCTTCACGGATAGGTCAATTTCACTGATTAAGAGACAGTTAAACCCTCGTGTGGCCATTCCTACATGTCCCTATTTGGAGAATAGGTGATCATACTATCTTTGCACGGTCAGAGTACCGCAGCCGTTAAACGTGTCACTGTGCAGGCAGTGCCTCTGATACTGGGGATGCTAGAGGTGATGTGTTTGGCAAACAGGCGGGGGTAAAGTTTGCGGAATTCCTTCCACTTTTTTTAATCTTTCCTGGAGGCATGCCTGTGTTGGGTTAACAGTTTGGGTAATAGATTCGTTGAACTGCAGGGTATAACGATTGGGCTGTTGACTAACAGTACTCGTTTCGGTCTGACATAAGCTTACGCTGGGAGAATAATTTCATATTACTTATATTAACATTGTTGCTTCTATAAAGTAACAGATTCGTCCAGTGTGCTTTAGGAGTTCAGTAGAATGAATAGGATGAAGGGTAATGGAGTATTGAGCTTAAACGCTTTCTTAATTGGTGGCTGCTTTTAGGTCAACTATGGTAGTGAAATGTTTTACTCTTTATAAAAGGTGATTTCCTAGGGTCGAAAGAGCTGTCCCTCTTTAGACTAACGATTAGAGTCACGGGAGGATTAAGTAGTTCTGTAAGTAAATTTAAGGTTGAACTAAGATTCTGTCTTGGACAACCAGCTGTCACCAGGCTCGGTAGTTTGTCGCCACTATCCGTAGATTTTCCCGCTATTTTGCCACATAGACGGGTGCGCTCTTAGCTGTCCTTGTGTAGCTCGCTTGCTTTCGGGGGGCGTTGCTGAAGGTCTCTACACAAAGCTATTTCTAGTTAATTCATTATGCAGAAGGTAGAAGGGTTTGTCTTTGCTTCTCTATGCTTTATTGGGTTTTTGTCTTTCCCTTGCGGTACTATATCTATTGGGCCTAAATATAATTTCCATCGCCTATACTTTCTTAACAGGTAAATGATTTACTTATTGTAGTTAAATAATATATTTATATGAGGTTGGGGCTGGAGTTAGCTCCAAGTGATCAGTTATTGGTGAGATCTTCTGGGTGTGGGCCGGATGCTTTAGTTTAAGCTACACGTATAGTGCGTCCAAGCGCACTTTCCAGTACACTTACCATGTTACCACTTGTCCCCTCTATATCAATGGGTAGTGGCTTATTGGCAACATACTTTTATGTGATGTTTGAGGAGGGTGACGGGCGGTGTGTGCCTGCTTCATGGCCTTTATTCAGGCAAGCTCTCTATTCTTGATTTCCTGCTAAATCCACCTTAGGTCTTTAGATTTCATAAAGGCGCCCATCTGTCTCCTAGTCCCAGCACCTGGTTCTCCTCAGGGAGGTCCAGGCAGCATCCACCTTCTGAGCCTCTCCCTGGGGTCTGTCTCACTGTCAGATTTAGCTAATGCTGGAGGTCTCTGGATGTCCTCGGGGGGAAATGTCGCTGGTCTGAGCCTAGGCCCTGGTCCGCTTCTCCACGAAGCCCACTCCCTTGACGCCATGCGGCCTCTCGGCTTTAACCATCGTCAGGGAGCTGGAGACTCGTGTACGCCACCAGCCCTAGCCTCTCCCTGAGCTCCAAACCGTCCGATCCCCCCAGCCACCACATCTCCACGATGTCTTAATGCATCAAGAATGAGCCCCAGGCTCTCCAAGATCCTCCTCCCTCTCACTGGTTGGGACCCAAAACCTCAGAGTCCCCGCCCCTCCTCTCTTCCTCTCACACCTCCCCCAAGCCTGTCAGCAACTCTGCTCACCAGCCTCCAAACCACCTTGGATGCTGCTCTCCCTCCAGCCCACCCGGCCACCCGGAGCCCCACCGCTCTCGTCACCTGCTGCCTGCCTTGCTGCAGGCCCTCCTCCCTGGCATCCCTGCTCTGTTCTGCCACCACCCCCAAGTCTGTTTTCGACACAGCCCCAAGGGATCCCATAAACGGAGCCAGGCCTTTCCTCCCCTGCCCCCAGCAAACTTTTGCCACCAAACAGGTACCAGGCAGTGGAGCGCGCTCTAGTTTGGAGCATGGGCCAAATGGGCTGAGGAACGTTTCCTGGTGAAGACCTAATAAGCCCAAATAAAGCAGAAGAATAGGCACTTTGGGAGGCTGAGGCAGGCGGATCACTTGAGGCCAGGAGTTCAAGACCACCCTGGCCAACATGATGAAACCCCATCTCTACTAACAATAGAAAAATTAGTCGGGTTGGTGGTGCCTGCCTGTAATCCCAGCTACTCGGGAAGCTGAGGATCGCTTGAAACCAGGAGGCGGAGATTGCAGTGAGCTAGGATCGTGCCACTGCACTCCAGCCTGGGCAACAGAGCCAGACTCTGTCTCAAAAAAAAAGCAGGAGAATGCAGCAGCCATGAGCAGAGGGAGGGAGGGAGACCAGAAGGGGAGTCCAGGTCCAGAGCGGGCGGGGGCATGGGAGAGGGTGAAGCTGGTGCTTTCAGTCCCCGGGAATCCCGAGGTTGGCCCAGAGCACTGGGCAGAGTTTCCTCAGAGCTGAGGGCTGCATTTGATTTGTTTAAGGAGAGGGCCTGCCAACAGTGGAAACTTCACAGGCGGCCGCAGGAAACAAAGGGACACCAGCCTGCTGGGGTAGGGGAGGGGTGGCTGGGGACCATCTGCTGTGGAGGAGGGGAGCTGTGGGGCCGCTGCTACCTCACTGTCCCCCCGCCCCCGCCCCCTGCCCACAAAGGGAGGAGAAAGGCTCCCCTTGAGTGCAAAACCCGCCTCCCCCAGCCCACCCCCTCAGCCCAGGACAAAGGCCGGCACACGAGTCCCCGGCCCCTGCCACAAGGCCCACCTGCTACCCGGCCGCCCTTAACCAGCCGGAGGGGCGCCCAGTGCCACAGTTAACCAGCTCATCCCGCCCCGTGGAGACGGGAAACTGCAAGCTGAAAGGGGAGGGCCTTGGCCACAGTCACAGAGAGAAGTGAGCCAAAGGGCGAGAGAGCCGTGGGGTGGCGAGCGAGGACCTCCCTGTCCTCCCACCTCCTCCTCCATCTCGGCATCCTTCCGTCTTTCAACTTTAAAGACAAGACTTCTGGAGTCTGCCCCTCGCCCCTTGGGTCTCACGGAGTGGCTTCATCTCCCACCTCGGCTGAACCTGCTCGGTGTTTGCACTGGGAGGTGGGAACCTCACGGGCACACAGTCGACCTCTGCAGCTTGCCGTGAGGGTGACACGAGCAACCCGCCTGATCTGCAGCCCACAGCTGCCAGCACCCCAGTCCCACCCCACCGCCTGCTCACAGCTGGGACTGAGCTTGGGACACGGAGGGGTTGTGCTTGCCTGCCTCTGCTGCCCGGGTTCTGTCAGGCACAGCCGCCCAGGCTGAAGGCCACGGACCCTCTCCTGTAGCCCAGTGGCCCAGGCCTCATGGGGTTCCCAAGTCTCAGCAGGGAAGAAAGGCGCCCAGACAGGAGCAAGGCTCTAGGTCCCGCTGGGCTCTGACCCCTCAGGCCTTCTGCGTGACGCTGCGCCAGCCAGCCCTTCCTCCTCTCTGGCCTCAGTTTCCCCATCCAGGGCAAGGGCATCACCGTGGTGATGGAGACAGGACAGGAAAAGGCCATGGGCCATGTGAGGCCACGCTCCCGGGTACACAGCCGCATAAACAGGAAGGCCTGCGGGAGGGCCCGCCTCGGTGGCTTCCGCAGGAAGAACCAAGATCTCCCCAGGAGGAGAAGCTGTGTGGGGTCCAGAGAAGAGCTGGGGTGCTCGAGGCCAGCTGGGGAAGCATTAATCCTGGGTGCAAGAGCCAAAATCAGGGCAGGGTGCCCTCCCCAGGACCGCCTGGCCTCCCGGGAGCCCTCTCTCTGTCTTGGTCTTTTAGGAGGCCTAACTGCCTCCGAAGACTCAGTCACTTCCTCCTATTGAGCCAGCCGCCAAAGAGGGGCGGGTGTGTGTGTGCGCGCACGCACGCCCGCCCATTCTCCACCTCCCCAGCAATGGTCCCTAACACGCGGCATCACTGACTTAGCTTGAGGAAGATACTGGATGCGAGGAGGGCAAGGGCTGGAAGGGACTTGGCTTGCCGGAGCCACGCACCCTTGTGACATCCACGCCTCTTGTCATGGCATATCTAGCACGCTCCAGCTCCGTGCGTGTGAGCACGCACGCACACGCAATCCCGCACGCCAGGCAGGCCTCCCGACCTCCCGCCACCACTCCTCACCCTCCACCCTGGCAGCACCTGCTCTCCTTCCCTCCCTCTGAAGCAGCCCCGAAGAAAGCCAGCGCAGGAGGCCAGACGTGGCACCCTTGGCACGCCCGGGCAGCAGAGGCACAGCGGCAGGGGCCGTCGGGAAGCCTAAAAGGATGCCTCCCTCAGAACAGACCCCACCTAGACAGTCTCGCCACGTCTGCCGCCCTCAGAGCCTGGGCCAAGGACCCAGTGCCCCAGGCCCGACGGGGACAGCACCTAGGGCCTGGGTGGGGCAGCCTGGCCTGGGCGTGGGTCACGGTCAGGACCTCTTGGAGGCCTCCATGCCAGCCGCCCAACACTCCCCATTGCCCCCAGTGCCAGGCTGGGCCTGTGAAGTCCCCACAGGAGAAGCTAGGAATCAAAGAACCCCCGGGAGAGACCCAGGAGCCTGGGGCAGGGGCCCAGCCTGGCCCCCAAAAGTGGTGGAGCAGTGGGCCCTGGGTGCACCTGGAGTCAGGACGAGCGCAGGGCACAGGCAGGGCCGCAGGCAGCCCTTAAGACCCGGAAGACGGAGAGGGGAAGAGGATCGCAGATTGGGCAGGTATCGGGCAGCTTCTCCCACGAGGCCATCAGGGACCCCAGCCCAGGAGAAAGGCCTCCGAGAACCCTTTAGGCCAGGGCCCACTCCCAGGGCCCAATGTCACCCACTTGTCACCTGTTCTCTGGTCCTGGAGACCCACGTGTCAAGCAGCAGCTCCAGGCGCAAGCGGTGGAAGGCCCGGGTCGTCTTCACCGCGATGAAGACATCGCGCAGCTGGAGCTCAGGGGGCCCCGGGCTCGGCTGGCTCAGCTCGGGGGTCTCCTGCACCCGCTGCGGGGACAGGTTCAAGTGGTACGGCAGACACAGGAGCCCCATGCACAGGAGGGTGAGGAGGGCTCCAGCCAGGCCCCGCAGGAGCCGGCACTGCATTGGTCGGCCCTGGGACCCCAGGCAGCTCGGCCCCCAAATCCCAGCCAGACGGGGAGGGAGGCTGGTCAGGCCGGGGCTCCGGCAGAGGCAAAAATCTGGCAAGCATCAGGGGCTGGCAGGGAGGGAAGAGGTAGGAGCCGAGACCCTGGACCCGGAGGCTGAGCCATGGCAGCACGATCTGGACCGCGCCAGCCCTCCACCTGCTCCCGGCCGGCCGCAGCCTCCAGGACTGCCGGGCCCCGCCCCGCTCAGCACGAGGGGCGGGGCCAGACGCAGGGAACCCCAGACGGGCGGCGGAGAGGACGCACCAGCCGAGGGGGCAGCCCTGGCTCTGCCAGCTGCTGCGGTGAGAGGAAGTCACCGATCCTCGGGGCGCGGTGGAAGGGAGGGTCCTCCAGGACCATGCACGCCCCCGGAGACCTGTCAGCGTGGCCCATTCAACACCCATTACTCTGGTGTCCTGCTTCGTCCGCCGCCCAGCTTTTGCTCAGTTTCCCTCCGGGATGCTGTCCCCTCCCACCAGCCTCACCCACATTCCCTCCGCTAGGTTGAATTCTATCTGAACTTTAAAGCTCAAGGGTTCCCTTCTCCGGGAAGCCTGCCGTGATGCCCCCTCTTACCATCTGGGGCTCCCGCGGTAGTTCGCTCAGATCCTGTGGTCTTCACAACAGCACTGGGACTGTCACTCCCAGTTAATGGCTGGGGATGTAAGGCACAAAGGCACAGAAGGAGCAGAGATGATCCAGCAACTCGGCTGCAAAGCTGACGGAACACAGGTCTCTGGTCCTCATCTGGTTCTCAGGAGGCCCTGTCCCTATACCCAGCCTCACTCCGAAGTCTCTGGAGCTGCTGCTCTCCCAGCACCCGGCCAGTGGACAGACCCGGCCTTCTCCAGCCGCCACCGCCGTCTTGTTCCGGACAAGCTCGCTCACACCTCCTCCCTCCGCCGCTCAAAGCCTACGCCGGCTCCCATTTTCTTCAGAACAAAAACCAGGAAAGCACCCAGCAGCCCACAAGGCCCTGCGTGAGCTCGCCCCAAGTTCCTCCCACCCCGTCCTGCTACGCTGCTCCACTGCAGACCCCTGGGATCCCGGCTGCCCCCCAGGACCTTGTCACTTGCTGTCCCCACCCACAACCCTCCCTAGAGACCCGCTCATCTCACTCTCCCACTCCCTCTGGGCTTTACACAAAGGTCACCATCTCTGTGAGGCCTTCCCTGGCCACTTTATTAACATTGCAACCCCTTGCCCCTCCTTCCCAGCCCCCCAGCCTCTTTTTTTTTTTTTTTTTTTTTGAGATGGAGTCTCTGTTGGCCAGCCTGGAGTGCAATGGCGCCATCTCCACTCACCGCAACCTCTGCCTTCGGGGTTCAAGCAATTCTCCTGCCTCAGCCTCCCGAGTAGCCGGGATTACAGGCGCCCACTACCACGCCCAGCTAATTTTTTTTGTATTTTTACTAGAGACGGGGTTTCACCATCTTGGCCAGGCTGGTCTTGAACTCCAGACCTAGGGATCCACCCGCCTCAGCCTCCCAAAGTGCTGGTTACAGGCATGAGCCACCGCACCCGGCCCAGCCCCCTTCACTATTTTCTCCATCACGCTTTTCATCTTCAACATCCTGTATGTCTTATTTACTGTCTGTCCGCCTCATGAGACTATCAGGGCAGGATTTCTTTTTTCATCACTGAGTCCCTAATCCCTAGTGCCTAGGACAGTTCCTTGCCGACAAGAACTCGATCAATATTCATTCAACACAACAAAGTACCAGGTGGCTGGTGAAGTGAACTGGCCCTGCCGGGCTCAACCCTGCATGAGGACAGCTAGGGGAGAGGAAGGGAGACCAACCCTTTGAATCACCTCCTCCTGGGCCAGCCCCCAGCCAGGCCCTTCACAGCCCATATTCTCAGAATAGTGACAGTGCCAGCCTTGGTGGTGATCACAGGCTCTGTGCCTCACAGACCATGTTCAAATCCCGACTGGGGGCCAGGCGCCGTGGCTCACGTCTGTAATCCCAGCATTTTGGGAGGCCGAGGCAGGCGGATCACTTGAGGTCAGGAGTTCCAGACTAGCCTGGCCAACATGGTGAAACCCCATCTCTACTAAAAATACAAAAATTAGCCGGGCATTATGGTGGGCACCTGTAATCCCAGCTACTCGGGAGGATGAGGCAGGAGAATCACTTGAACCCAGGAGGCGGGAAGTTGCAGTGAGCCGAGATGGCAGCCCTGTGCTCCAGCCTGGGTGACAAGAGTGAGACTCCATCTCAAAAAAAAAAAAAAAAAAAAAATCTCTACTGGGCCACTCACTGTCTGTGTGACCCCAGGCAAGCTACCTTTATCATTTGTAAAATGGGGACAAAAATGTAACTTGGTGACGATTATGGGATGAGTAGGCTTCACCACACAGAACACTTGACACGGGGAGCAGACAGAGGCAGCCGAGCCACAGGGCCCAGCCTGTCCCCGGTCATGGGGAGGTTCATTTACCCCAATGCCCAGGGAGCCACAGACATCGAGAGACAGCCACATGGACTCCCTCGTCCTGCCATAAGGCAGAACATGGCACGACCCAGAGAAGTCCCAAGGGCTGGGAGGCTCCGGTGGGCTTTGTGGAGGTGACATCTCAGCCAGGCTTCAAAAGTCAGGAAGATTCACGCAGGGAGAGCAGCCCAGGCAGCAGGCCACACGAGCACAGGGCACAGCTGAGGGCGGATTCGGAGCCCACCGCGTGAGTTAGGGGAGATGTGGCTGGAGGAAGCCCTGGAGTCGAAAGGGACATTGCAGCTGACTCCCCTGCAGGGGGCGGCCCTTCCCCCATGGCAGCGCCTTTGTCACTCAGAGTCCCGGAGTCCCACTCTCCAGCCCCTACCCCAGTGGTGACAGACTGGCGGGCCTCAACGTCCAATCTGCACCTTGTTAAAGACGCCCTGCCGTGGAGAGAGTGGGAAGAGCTGTTGCCCGGGCAATGGCTCTGCGCCAGCCACGCGTGCTCACCCAGCCGCGGCCAGTCAGTACCCCCATGCTCATTCCAGCATCCTGGCCTCCACAGGGGAGGACCCTGGGTCCAGAGAGGTCATCTGAGTTCCCAGGGGTCACCTGGCTGGCCAGAGCTTTGGCTTTCAACCAAACCACGGTGCCCAGTGCACTCTGCACTCCGTTGCAGGAAAGCCTCTGTGGCCTCCCAGGGCAGCCTGAGCCCGTCATCCTGCGTGGTCCAGCCTCTGAGACCCTCGCCACCTCTCCCCTCTACCCAGTCCTTGTCTCTTCCCACTAAAGATGGACGCCCCCATCCTCACCCCAAACCCCTCTCTGCTTCCCCATTCCGTTCTCCACCCACCACCCCAAATCCCCAGGCCTTAGCCCTTAAGAATTTTTCTTGTCAAACATGGAGATCCCGACCCACCCCTGGGGGCCACAGAGCCCCTCCTTCCTGTCTGCTCCTCTCTTTCACTCCGTCTCCCCCTCCCCCCATCCCCTACTCCAGTCGGCCTCAGTCCTGAGCCAACCCCAAACCAGAGTTCCCACAGCCCTGCCCCCCAATCCTTGGAGGCACCCACAGCCTCCAGGGCACAGCCCAAGCTCCTCTGCACCCCCAGCCCCCCCCCCAGGACTGCCCTTCCTGACCTCATTTCCAACCCCTCCCCAGGTAGCCAGATCCAACCCATGCGCTGCCCCTGAGCTTTTGCCCTGGAAGCTACACTATCTAGTTAGTACATCCAGACCCCAAGCCCCAGGCTCATCACTGGGGCTGAGGACAGTCACCTGCACTTGGACACATAGGTCCAGTAAGTGGTTCTTGAAGAAAGGAATCCCAATTCCCAAGCTCAGTGGCACCTCCTCCAGGAAGGCTGCCTGGATTGCTCACAGTGGGAGCAACCATCCTCTCTTTTGAGTGGAGCCATCTCAGGAACCTTCAACCCTTGCTCTTGAGCTCCTGGGCTCAGCAGTCAGGTCCCTTCAGTCTGAGACCACACCCTGACAGTTTTGGTGCCCCACTCCAGGGGGGAGGGCACTCCTCTGATGATCAGCCATGGGCTGGGCTGAGCGCTGGGGTGGCCCATCCATGCAGCCCTTCTCTGGTCATTCCGGGGCGGGTAAGGTGATGCCAGCACAGATGGCGAGCGGCTCTGGAACGAGGTAGGCAGGAAATCTGACCCTCCCGACAGGCAATCAGGGACCCGAAAGGTGGTATCTGCCTGAGCTGGGGGTGGGGACAAATGAGAATGGTGGGGGCCCAGGCCAGGGATACAAGCAAGCAGAAGGCCACCAGTGTCTACGACGAAAGTGTTTAATGTTCCATAGTGTGCAGCTTCTGAGTGGGAAAGGCCCATTAATCCCCCACGGGCTGCACATTCTCATGACGGAGCCCTCCCTGGCCCCCTAAGAGGGAGGTAGAGGCAGGGGTCGGGTCCTGTGAGGCACGGTTCTGCGTGTGCCCACGAGGAACGGGTGGGGCATGACATTTACACAGGAGAGCCCCACAGACCCCCATGTGAAGAGAGACGAGGGGCACAGGTGACCGAGGGCCCAGGAAGCGCCCGCCGCCCCCCACACCCGCCCGCGGTCCATGCATGGCTGAATCCACGAGGAACGTGAGCGGGACGGCGGAAGTCACACAATAATGGGCTCGGGGCTCCTGGGAGCAGAACAGGTCCTTGGGAGGCCTGGTGCCCAGGGCAGAGGGGCAGACCTGAGCCTACCCGTGAGAACTTGAGTGTGCAAATCTGCGCACAGGTGTGAGAACAGGCTCCAGGGTGAGTGTTTAAGGCGAAGACACAGACACACTAGTGCGACCCACTAGTGGGAACGTGGAGACCCCAGGACCGGTGGGGAGGCCCAGAGCAGCAAGTACAGGGGGGCGGGTGCTCTGTCCCGGGGCTCCCGCAGGCTGGGCAGGGCCAGAGCCAAGGGCCCTGCGACTGCGAGTCCAAGGTTCGAGGAAGGCTCTGGGCGGGCGGCCCCAGCCTCGCCGCACACACGGGGATCCGCGCTCGCCTGGGACGAAGCCGCAGGTATCAGATGAGCCTCAGGCCTCGCTGCTGCTGCTGCCGCCGCCCCTGCCACCGCGGCCGCGCTCCACCCACACGAGGCGGGCTTGCTCCTGCAGGATGCGGCCGCGCACCACCTTGGCCAGCTCCTCTGCGTGGCCCCACTCATGGGCGGGCACCTGCACCCAGGAGCAGGGCAGCCCCCCGAGCACCTGGTCCGAGCCACGGCACTGCCGCAGCAGCTCCGAGTCCCGCCAGCCCGGCCGGCCCAGCAGACCCCTGCCAAGAGAGGGGCGGGCACTGGTCAAAGTGGGGGGGGGGGAGGGGGACGAGGCAGGCGGGGACCCGAAAGGCGGTATCTGCCTGTG